ATGGAAAACTCTACAGACTGTCGGTTCACACCCCATCACAAGCCAGCAAAACATCCATGAAACAAAGAAAGGTCTGTCACAACCAAAAAATACATTCCAGACACGCCGCTGTATATATATATATATATATATATAAAGGAATAAGTATGTGATGATCACTTCTCACAATCACAGTGAGACTCCTCACCGCCATATAGATATGTGTGATCGTAGGCAGTCCAATCCAAAATCCGAACCATAGAACATATCTGCAATCACATCAAAGAGTCAAGCAAGAGTCCACGCACTACACGGAGTCAACTCCAACCAATCTCTATACTCATACCCCTCGCTTTAGCCATGCAAGCCCCAGCCTCTGTCCAACCAACCATAATTAAATACTAAGTTCTTTGTTAAATGACCATTCAATAAAAGTCTGGGTGAAACCTTAATAAAACAATAAAATCACCAGGGCTAAAGCCTTTTAGGTTGAGTATTGAGGATGAATTGGAGCTAAGTCGTAAACCGACGAATCAACAACCGACCTGTTATCAGCGATAACAGAAGATGATCCTTGTAGGATCAAACTGAATCTAGCCTAAGTCCTGAATCAATCGACCAAGAGGACCTGTAACACAAGATAGGTCAATTCCCAAGCTAAATCTATACGTTCATGGAGAATAATTCCCTTATCATAATCTGACTCAAACCATCCTAATTAACTAAGTCTAAGTCTATCTCTAAGCAACTATCAAAAGAAAGGTAGACCCTGGCAAAATCTCCTCTATACAGAGTATACAGAGTGGATTTTCCAGAATTGTCACCTGTCAAAATATAATCTAACTCCTCTGAACTAAGAAAATTTCGGCACCACTTCCCGTAGGAGAAGTGCCCTTTCAGAATTTATATCAGCCTAAATGTGAAGGAAAAAATAATCTTCAACCGTCTAAAGTTAAATTTTGTCTAACTCCCTAAGTTAACAAAAATTTGGGCAGCACTCTCGTTAGAAAGGGAGACTTCCCAAATTTATGCTAAGTCAGATATGAACTCAGGAAACAAGACCAGAGTTCAGCTAAGACAAAATCTAACTAACTCTTTAGATTCGTAGAAATTTCGACAGCGCTTTCAATAGAGAAAGTGTTATTCCAAATTTATACAAAGTTAAATTCAGAATCTAAAATGACTTTGACTTTTCAAGGTCTAATTTTGTCTAACTCCCTGAATTAGCAAAAATTTGGGCAGCACTCCCTTTAGAAAGGGAGACTTCCCAGATTTATACTAATTCAGATATGAACTCAGGAAACAAGACCTGAGTTCAACTAAGACAAAATCTAACTAACTCTTTAGATTTGTAGAAATTTCGGCAGCGCTTCCCGTAGAGAAAGTTCTATTCCAAAATTTATACAAAGCTAAATTCAGAATCTAAAATGACTTCGACTTTTCAAGGTCTAATTTTGTCTAACTCACTAAATTAGCAAAAATTTGGGCAGCACGCCCTTTAGAAAGGGAGGTGTTCCAGATTTTAACTAAGCCAAAGAGTCAGAAAAGTAGGACCCTGAAAAAGATAAAATCTGACCAACTCCTTGGTTTTGTATAAATTTCGGCAACGCTTCCCGTAGGGAAAGTGGCTTACCAAGATTTATACAAGACCAAGTACAAATAAAAAATCCGAGAAAATGCAGAAATTGACTTAAGTAAAAAAAAACTTAGCTCAGAAAATGCAGGAATTGAAACTAACTCTATGGCTCTAGCACGCGATGAGCAACTAAAGCAACTACTTATCAAACTGAAACTCAGGCTAAGTAGTAGCCTTACTCAGTCACATGCAGACCAAACCACAAAGGTAAGTACTCTCACAATCCCCAAAGTCAAATTTATCAAACAATAGTTCATAGCCTTTCAATGATTTATCCCTTTATACCCAGCTTACATAGGGCATAAAGCTAGACGACCCAAACTTATGGATCATGTCTAGCTCAACCATGGAGTATACACAAACACAGGGCACAACAACTTTTCTCTTCTTTGAGCATATGACTAGGCCACCCTAGTCGCCCTAAACTGTTTAAATATCCCAACTTTATATACTTCTTTGCACTTAGTCTTTTGAGGTAGCATATAACTGAACCGATCATCTTCAACTCAAGATTCAGCCTGCCCCTACCCCAATTTTATTCTTAATTAGTACTCTCTTCAGTTGGTGATAAGCTATAGTCAGACCACCCAAACTTATGGAACCCTGTCTGACTAGCCTGTTCATAAGTAATATAGTAATAAAATATAGCCAAATTATAACCCTCTGGTTCCAGCATGTGCGAGGCGTTGGATCAAGACCACCCAAACTTATGGAACATGTCTTGGTCCTCAACCTGGTTCATTTATCTCAAAGCCAAAGCAGGAAGAGGCTGAGCCACCCAAACTTATGGAACATGCTCAGACCTCCTCGTTCAGAAACTAAAGAAACTAAAGAAAAACAAAGTAAACAAGGCGACCAAGTCACCCAAACTTATGGAACATGCTTGGCCCCTTAAAAGTCAACCACATTCAGCCCTCACAAGTAAAAGCAACCAAACCACCCAAACTTATGGAACATGTTTGGTTCTCCAGGCAATTCAAAACAAACATAGCACTGGGCCTTCCCAAACTTATGGAACTGGCCTAGCCTTTGGTTGACCCGGTCAAACACATGCAATACTGCCTTTCTCCCATCCTTCCCCCAGATGCAATCCCACAATCTGCTTTTAGTCAAACAATAAAACTGAAACTGGCATTGCACATGCCTTCCTTTACTTAGTCTGGTTTGTGTCCTGAAAGTCAAACTGAAAAGTCAAAGTAGGGATGTAGACAATATACTCAGTCAAAACATATCAAGGAATATAGATAAAGGTTATAACTGGGTTTATAGAGGGAAAGCAATTATTACCTCTTAGTTCCCTGCCTCCAGAACTCCACCTGAGTTCCGGCAGAGCTCCCGCAATCGGTGGGCTGACTCCCCACAGAGTCTTGTTGCGGTCCTACGGGTTGCAATCCCGCCTGCCGCCTTCCTCTCAGAACTGGACTAGACTTAGAGTAAGAAAGAGAGAGAGAGGTTTCAGATGTTCGAGATACGAGAGGGGGACAACTCAACTCTCAGGAGAGGGCCTTGTTTCCTTCACTCGCCCGAGGGCCCCGCAATGGTGGCCGAAATGCGCAGCAGCTCGGGTAAGCAGAAGTCAAACTGTCGGTTGTTGACTCTCCGACGATCCTCCCAACCACCGCAACCACCGCAACAACCCCACCCCCTCTCTCAACTCGATTATTCCCCCGAATATAGAATCCACCGGCGTTGCAGGGTTCACTAGTCCTCCAAACGTCCGGTTTGAACCACGGCCAGACACGTATATACCTCGCGGCTGGACTCGTGCCACTTCGACCGATATGATGAGCAGCGAATGGGTTAGTAGGTACCCCTGCATTCCACAGTCCGTCTGCAACTGCCTTGCAGAACTTCCATTCAATCGAGTTAAGAAGTTTGCAGGTCGGTCGGGGAACATCCACAAACTTGTGTCCGTCTCCTTGTTGTTCCAGTCCAGCTATCAGTTGGGCAACACGCAACTAACAGGTAAAGCTCCAACCACGTAGTTCGCTCCCGTGCCGCTCTCCTGTTCAACAGTGAACAACTTGCCAGCCAGCATGCAGATATGTTGCTCCAGTTTCTGCTACTCCAGTCGGTAGGAGGGACAACACATCAGCCAATAGGTGAGTCTCCACTCTTGCGGCTGCCCTGGCGCCTCTCCTTTCGTTTAATCGAATGAATCTTCCGCTAGAACACGGAAAGATACATTGCCCATAGTAACGCTCCTCCTCGCATGCAGCCTACTCTCTATTTAGCTTTCGTCTTACTAACTTAAACCTCTAACTAGCTTTCTAAACGAGTTCGCCATCCCTCATAACCCCCGATTTACGTCGCCAATGTCCGGGCCTGGTGCCTGGCCCGTTGTACAACCTCCTCCTTTTGTCCCACCGGTGACTGGGGTATCCCCATATGTAGTCCCATCATCGGTTGCGATCGTTTCCCTGGGCATGCCGCTATCATGAGGGATCACAGCAGGATCTAGTTTGCAGGTTCCGGTACAGACAGTGTTCACCCAATCTCCGTTGCAGGTTGCAGCTACCACGTAGCCTGCTGTCTCGCAGTCTGTACAGCCGCAGGGTACACAGCCCCAACAGCTAGCACAACAACTTGTGTCACAGGGTCCACAGCCCAGAGTGATGCAGGGACCGGGACAAACACAGTGGGTGACAAAGACGGCCATCGCCGCTCAGAAACCCTTCACAGGGGATAAGAGAGGTGAAGACCTCGACACGTGGTTCTGGGCAGTGCCTGTCTATGTTAGGTGTACACTTACCTTGCCACATGAAGAAGTGCTTGTGGCTGCCTCCTACCTAGAGGGTAGTGCAACAAAATGGTTGAGTGGTTTAGTGCAGCCCCAGGGGTATGGTCATGACTTCCGCGCTTGGGCGATCACCCAAAAATTGGATGACTTCCTTAAGCTGGTGGAGGAAAGGTGGCATGATCCTCAGGAGGCCCAAAGGGCCACTGACGCGATCCTGACACTGCACACGCGACAGTTCAAGTCGGTAAGGGAAGCCACCGACGTTGTTGAGTGTCTGATCTGTGTCCCAGGTGTGCGCTATGACCCCCAGGTACTACTCACCTCCTACCTGAGATGCTTCTCTTTGCCTCTCAGGAACCGGTTGGCAGGTGAGGCCAACATCAATCTGCACAACTTTCCTTCGTTTCTCAAGAAGGCCCTAGACCTTGAGGCGAAGATAGGGCATGGACTGGCACCCACTACAGACGGAAGGAAGAAGACACTGCCTCCTAACTGGAAGGCGAAGGGGCGCATTATGTTTGTCGATAACGATGGTTCTACCATCGAGTTAGATGACAACTTCCAGGAAGGAGTAGGTGCAGAGGCAGGCATCGTAGAAGCTTCAGGGGGTGGAGTAGTCGATGTTGTAACTCAGAAAGGTAAGGCGACCGGTAGACGCCGTGGAGGTTCCCGGTCTAGAAGTCAAGTTGACCCCAATGCTCCTCCATGGGAGAAAGCGGGTCTCACTGAGGACGTGTGGAGAGACCGGTACACCCGGCAAGCTTGTATTCGTTGTGACCAATATGGCCATAACCAATTCAAGTGCCGGAACAAGAAGGTAATCGAGAAGATCCCGCCTATGATGGGGCAGGCGTTGGGATCCTCCCATCTCGTCGGTAGCAATGTTGCCAGTACTTCAGGCACTGCTCCGGGAAACACGTCGGGCCAGTAGGATAGTAGTTGTTCCTACTAGGGTCGAGGTGGTGGAGACACCCTCACCATTTCGAGAGATGGCCCAAGCTACTGAGTCCAGCATCGTCCCGCAAACACATTCAGACCCATCGAACCTCTGTTCGATGAATGTGTTTGAGTCCTTAGAGGAGCTAGAGGAGGAGTGGTCTAGATTAGACCCGCTAGCTTCTTGGACGACATTAGTCAGAGCCCCGAAGGGTGAGATGTTCGTCAGCGAGGTTGTCATTGGCGGTTGCAAGGCTGGGGCCTATTATGACACTTGCTCGACAAGGAACTTTATCAGTCGCGCGTGCGTTGAGAGGCTGCGCTTACAGGGGCAAGTGCAACGCCTGAGTCGACCTGTGGAGTCGACATGTGCCAACAAACAGCGCATGGTAGTCAATGACTACCTCCAAGATGTTGAGTGTAGTTTCCCGTACGCGGGAGTGGAATTGAGACATTGCGTCTCGTTCCTAGTGAGTGACAAGCTCCCCATGGACATGTTGTTAGGTATGTACTACCTCTCTGTGGCACAGCCCCAGTTTGATTGGGACCGAAAAGTGGTCAAACACACTTTGTCAGGTGGAGGGACCGCCAAATTGCACAAGTTCAAAGCTAGTAGTCTGATCGAGTCCCATGGATGCATGTGTGCGGCCGCGTTCTATAATTACTATAATCAAAATCAGAAGGAGGGTATGTATCTAGTTTATATCTCTGCTGCAGGCGAGCCGGTGAAAATGCCACCGAAGATAGAGGGAGTAGTTGCCAAGTACCCTGATCTATTTGAAGAGCCGACAGGGGTTGTAGAGAGGGAGGTCGTCCACGTGATAGAGATTATCCCAGGGTCTAGCATCCCGAAGGGTAGGATCTATCGGATGTTTCCAGGCGAGCTCGATGAGCTTCGCCGACAACTCAAGGAACTCGTAGAGAAGGGTTGGATCCGGCCGAGCGTCTCTCCTTATGGGTCTCCAGTATTATTTGTACCTAAGAAAAAGGAGGGAACTCTGAGGATGTGCATTGACTATAGGGGCCTCAATGCCATCACTATTAAGAATAGAGAGCCCCTACCGTGTATCGATGATTTGCTTGATAGAGTGCAAGGGTGTCGGTACTTCAGTAAAATAAATCTGAAGTTCGGGTACCATCAGATTGCAGTCCGGCCCGAGGATCAACACAAAACCGCATTTCAGACCAGGTACGGTCTGTACAAGTTTGTAGTGATGCCTTTCGGCCTTTGCAATGCTCCTGGCACCTTTCAGCACGCTATGAATCGGATTTTCCATGACTACTTGGAATAAGTTTGTCACCGTGTACCTCGATGACATACTTATTCTTAGTAAGACTGTCGAGGAGCACGTTGCACACTGGGACAAAGTCCTTAGTCTCCTGCGACAGCACATGTTCAAGATCAACGGTGAGAAGAGCGAGTTTGGCCGCACCCGTGTCTTGTGCTTGGGTCATGAGATTTCCGCGGAAGGGTTGAAGCCCGATGACGCGAAGGTGGCCAGTATTCGTGACTGGCCGCGTCCTCAGTCTGTGACTGAGATGAGATCATTCTTAGGGATGACCGGCTACTATCGCAACTTCGTGGAAAACTATAGCATAGTTGCCGCCCCTTTGACTGATCTGACCCGCCTTGACATCCCATGGGAGTGGAATGAGAGATGCGAGGCTGCTTTCAGACATCTGAAGCATGCATTGACGCATTACGAAGTCTTGAAACTTTTTGATCCTGACAAGCCATTTATAGTGACTACGGATGCTAGCCAAATGGCATAGGTGTCGTACTTGCACAACAGGAGGGGGAAAAGTTGAGGCCAGTAGAGTACATGTCCAAAAAGATGCCCTCTCAGAAGTTGGCTAAGTCCACCTATGAGAAGGAACTCTATGCGGTTTACAAGGCTCTGACCCATTGGAGACACTATCTCCTTGGGAGGTTCTTCATCCTCAGGACTGATCATCAGACACTGAGATGGATGAGAACTCAACCGGTGCTCTCCGACGCTCTGAAGCGTTGGATCGAAGTCATAGAGCATCGAGCCCCAGTACATCAAGGGCGAGTACGACAAGGTTGCTGATGCCTTGTCGTGTAGACCAGATTTCTCTGGTGCGCTGATCACTGAGTTTGGGCTTGCGGACAATGTTACTCAGTCCATGGTGGAAGCCTATTGTGAGGATTCGTTCATGCCGGAGATCATCCGCAGACTCGAAGCGAAGGACAAAGTGACTTCTGCTGAGTTTGAGTTGGTCAACGGCTTGCTGTTCCTCGAGAAGACTGGGAATAAACGTATGTGTGTCCCGAATAGCGAGTCTTTGCGTAGTTTGTTTTTAGGAGAGTGTCTTGATGCCACCGACCATTTTGGGTACAAGAAGACCGCAGCCAATCTCCTGCAGCGGTTCTGGTGGCCCACGATGATGCGAGATGCCCAGTTGTACGTGGAGACTTGTCAAGTATGTCAGAGGGACAAGCCACGTACCCAGGCTCCTCTTGGGCTCCCGAAGCCCCTTCCGATTCCGGAAAGGCCTGGTGAGAGTTTGTCCATGGACTCCATGGATACGCTGGTCACCAGCAAGAGTGGGATGAGACACATCTTCGTTATCGTGGATAAATTTAGTAAGTATGCTAGGTTAGTAGCAATGCCGGAAACAACTAGGACGGAGTATGTGATCAGAATGTTCAAAGAGAACTGGGTTAGGGACTTTGGGTTACCAAAGTCTATTATTAGTGACAGGGATGTCCGATTTACCAGCGAATTGTGGAAGGCCGCTGCTGCAGAGCAGGGAACCCAATTGCAAATGACTTCTGGAAATCACCCAGAGGCCAACGGCCAGGCCGAGCAACTGAACCGCGCTGTACAACATTTGTTGAGGCATTACATCAAGCCCAACCAGGTGGACTGGGATGAGAAGCTTGCTCTCATCGCCAGTCTGTACAACAATGCGGTACACAGCGCCACCGGGGTGAGCCCGAACAGTTTGCTATTGACTTTCAAGCCTAGACTACCCTTAGATTTTATCCTTCCTGAGAATCAGTCAACTGCTGCACCAGGTACTTTAGAATTTGCTTACCGTTATGAACAGAAGATGCAGCAGGCTGTGGAACAGATGCAAAAGGCATAGGCGGCTATGATAGAATCTGCGAACAAACACCGCTGTGAGTCTTCATTTCAGGTTGGGGACAGAGTATGGGTTAAGTCCTCAGAACTGGGACAGGAGCACGGGATCTCCCGCAAGCTCATGCCACAGTACTTTGGACCATGGGAAGTCTTAGATATTGTTGGGACTGATTCCGATGGACCTTCTTACGTAGTCCGGATCCCTGGTCATCTTCGCACTTACCCTGTCTTTCACACCTCCAAGCTTGCACCGTTCAAAGAAACAGATCAGTTTCCATCTTGCCGCTCAATGCTGCCCCCAACCATGGATGGAGAGGTGGATATCGACGATATCGTGGACCACAGGGAGATGCCAGTGGCAAGACCAACAGGCAGGGGACGTCCTCCTAAACCGAAGCTGCAGTACCGCGTTCGGTTCCGGCATCACACTGATCCGAAGGAGGACCGCTGGTTCACCAGGGAGGAACTCATGCAGACCGCTCCTCAAGTTGTAGCCCATTACGAGAGATCTCTGCATAAGGGAAAGCGCCCAATGATTGAAGATTGAGCTTCTCAGAGGACTGTTGAAGCTAAGGAGGAGGGAATGCGAGGCCAATGCCTCCATGAGCCCCTTTTTGCCCCATTCTGAAGCAAGTCGGCCACCCTAAGTGAAGGCAGGCTCGACGAGGCCCTCAGGGCCCTGTTTTGGTCACCACGCAACTCAAGGAAATTCAGGCAGTTGCGTAGCGCCAGTTGGTTGAGAGAACCCAGGCCCTGGGCCGCCTGTGTGAATGTATGAAAGCAGGCCCTGGGCTGGATACGGGTACTGGGCCGAACACAGGCCAAAGGCATTTGGGCGCATGCAACCACTTCAGGCCCAAGGCCTGTTCTCATTCATGCTGGGCCTCAGGCTACCGGGGCCTACTGGAAGCTTCTTGGGACTGGACGCAGGCAGGCCACTTCGATATAGCAAAGGGCCTGCCTCCATTCAGGTGCTGGCTGCATGCTGCGCAAGCGCTGCTGCGCTATTTTGCTGGCTGGCACCTACGCGCTCACGGGCGAGCAGGGAAGGAGCAGGCAGCCATAGCCGAGCTGCGCTGCTGTAAGCTGGGTGTGGCGCAGGGTGGTCCGTGGGTGCAAGTGGCATATGTGTGTTGGGGAACGAGGTTGTGAGTAAGGCGAGAGACATACCTGGTGCTGGAAGCGTGCAACATTGGTCGCTGTATGCTCGTATTTCGGGAGAGTTGTTGTCGTCAACTTCAGCATTGTAGTATAGGCTAGATAGGATCTGCCACATGTTGTCTGGGCGCCGAGCGCCGGATAGGATATCAACTCTAGTTCTTCGTTGATGATGATGATGGGACTATTTCAGCATTGTCAATTATGAACTCTTGGTGTGTTCTTATTTGGTGAATCTCGTGATGCAATTCTGCTGTTGGTTCGAGGTCACGACTATCTGGACTCGTATGTATGATGCTGTTTGATTGCTGAAGTTCGCTATTGCTCATCTTCCTTGCATTTTGAATTTTAGATTAATTTCAAAATGGGATTGAAACTAAGGAGCACAAAAATTTTACAAAGTGCAATTACCAAAAGTTTTGAATGAATTTGAAATAAATGGCTAATTAAATCGGGAGGGAATTGAAGGACTAAATAATTAAGTTAACGGGGGTGGGCGGGGGAGAGTTAATCCTAACTACGTGTTGATATGGGTGATGGTACGGGGGAGTATTGGGATAGGTAGGGCGCAGTCGGGAGCGGGAGCGAGAGGGGGGGCGGAGAGCGGGAGCGGGAGGGAGGTACGCCGGGG